TCATCTGTTGTTTTATAATGGAGATCTAAGGTTTTGGGCTCGTGGTGAAATTGTGACCTTTTGTCCGTTTGGGAATTTTGAAAACGTGCTCCTAAATTGACTCACAAAAAGGCTTCCTGTACTAGACTGAATTCACTATAGTGACCACAACACAGTAAGAGTGTCTGTTGATTAATAATGTTTTCCAGTATTGCAGTGTTTTATGTAAAGAGGTTTGTTAGGTATTTTTGTGCTTGTATTTTCAGTGATAAAGAAAAATCAGATCATTCATCTTTTTAATAAAAAACCTACGTGCATGTGACATACTCTGGGTTTCATTATGTGAGCCCTGTAAGGGAATCCAAATTTGGGAACATATGTCGCACATGCTAGCTCATGCTATCTTCCTATATCTATTTTTGATATAAAACACCTGCAGGTATTTTTGATATTCTGCAGTGAATAAAAAGATTTTGCTTTTCAAATGGTATTTGCTTTTGAAGGTATACCAGACTTCTGATCAGTTGGGTCATTCCGTGTTTAAGTGAGAATTCTTTAAAAGGTGCTAAACAAGAGGAGGCCATTCAGACTGTCCAGCCCGTCAGAGCGTCAGTTCGTAGCGTATTGATCAGAGAATCTTATCCAGTCCTTTCCTGACAGAAGACAAGGCATTGGCTTCAGCTGCAAGACTGCGTGGCTCGTTCCACCCCCCTATGCATAAAGAAATGCCTGCTGTTCTCGGTTTTTAACTCATTTCCACTCAGTCATCTCATTGCTAAAGGATCTAAGAGTGTCAGAATTTACCACCTGTACAAAAACGTAAAACGGATATATCTACAGTTGTGTGCAAACGTTTGGGCAGCCCTCGTTAAATTGTATGTTTCAGTGCATCTTTAAGTGAAAAGACGTTGGCACAGCCTCTGTGTGGTACAAACTTAAACATGTCATCTTTCTGCAAATTGTAATGCACTATTAGTGTTTATTTACAGTTTTGTAGATATTCAAAATAGCAAAATATGGCATGTGCAAAAGTCTGGGCACCCTGTCAGTCAGTACTTGGAAACACCTCCATTGTCAGCATGTGCTTTCAGACTCTTCCTGTAGCCAGCAGAGTCTTTCAGTTCTTGCTTTAGGAGTTTTTCCTCACTCTTCCAGCTCAGAAGTATTCTTATACTGTAGGTCTTCTTGCTTGCCCTGCATGTCTGAGATCTCCCCACAGATTTTCTATAATATTCAAGTCTGGGGGCTGTTAAGGCCTTTCCAAACCCTTAATCTTTCCTTCCTGTAAGTACTTCATGGTTGATCTTAAAGTATGTTTCAGATCTTTTCTTAAAATACTTCACCCATTTTCAAATGTATCTTCTGTGGTTGTGGCTAAAAAGATCAATTTTAATTTCATCAGTCAGCAGCACTTTTTTCCAAAACGTTTCTTGGTTATCAAGGTTTTGTTTTGCGTACTTTAGACATTGATTTTTGTGATAAGGTGGTAGGAAAGTCTTCCTTTTGACAGTACTCCAATGCTGGTCATGTTGTTGTGTAAGCAACGCTGTGCTGTGGACCTGAGAGCCACTATTCCAGTGTCATCTAAACTTTTCTTCAGGTCCTTTGCAATGATCTGTGGGCTCTGCTTCTCAGATCTGACCGGTTTTCAAGCAGTTCTGTCAGATTTTTCTGGGTCTTCCAGATCTTGGCTTGACTTCAGCAGTTCCCTTTAACTTCCTAATGATTTTTCAAGTCCTCAGACATCAGCTTAGAGGGGGCCATGGATGTTGAAAGTAGGCAGAACAACCTGAGAAGTTAGAAGGGTCAGAGTGCTAGTTCAACCCTGACTTAATTTATGGCCTAGTGCATTCAATGAAAAATCAAGTTTGGGGCCTTTGAAGAACACATTAGAAAAATCTGGGATTTTAAATGACAACAGAGTCAGGACCTGACGTTTTACATCTCATCCAAAGGATGGCGCCTATTTAAGTATAGTGTCTCCACCACTTTACTGGGGCATTAGGACCCACACAGACTGCAGGGTGAGCGCCCCCTAGAGGCCTCTTCTTAGCTTTCCCAGGAGATGTCCCCTCCAGGTACTGGCCAGGCTCACACCTGCTGAGCTTCAGTGGGCTGCCAGTGGTGAGCTGCAGGGTGATACAGCTGCTGGCAAGCTGGAATGTTCAACTGAACATTTTTAGTCTTGAGCAGGGAGGACCTGATCCAAGTATCCCAAACCCTCATAAATCCGTTCGACTTGATAAAATAATCAACGACAAAATGCAAACCCATAAGTGCAGGTGAAAGGTGTGGGGAAACGGCATGTAAAACAGACCAGAAGGCACCTGTGTACGCCGAGGGTAGTGTGAGCCTGGCCACAGGGATGTCCCCTGTTCTTTCTTGGCCTCTGTCGAGACGCTGCTAGCAGGCAGGCGAGACAGCTGGACAGAATGTCTTCCTCTCGGAATCAGTGCAGAGCAAGCTGCCGCCCTGCCATCCGGGCGCGCTCTCGACGGGCTCGGTCGTTCAGCGCTGCCTCAGCCCACGGGCCTCGCGGACTGGAGGTCTGTCAGGGAGCCTGCACCTCCTGCTGCGGGCCTCGTCCCTCACCTGTGCGGGACGAACCTTCTTCAGTGCGAACGCCAGACGCGGCCTGCGCCCTTCAAGCCTTCTGTCCCCTCTTTCGCCCAGAACCGGTCCGCTCGCACTGCTGTTAGACCGCTCTTGTGTCCAGTGGGAGCAGTCCCTCCGATGAGACAAAGAGCCCGCAGGAACTTGCTCCGCACGGTCACTCAGACCTGCGATTTCCAATCTCGCGCTGCTGCAGACCATTTGGCAATCGCTGTGTTGTGGTTGGGCATCGGGAGGCGGGGGAGCAGCATAAGAGCCTGTTTTAATAAATTATATTACTCATACCCCGAGCCAGTTAAAACATATCCTGAAGAAATCTGGTGCTGTTTCACGAATCCGGGGCTACATGCTGGAGTGCTTATTGTTCAACCCCGAAAAACCCTTCTTCTTTTATATCTCGGTAATGAACAGCTGGGAGTCTTTATATGGTGCAGATATTTCTCCAATGTTAATCTTTTCCCCTGCTGTGTTCGTGACCCTGATGGAGCAGTGTTGACTTTGGCCCTGCTCCTTTTAACCAAGTGAAAAGCATTTCCCTCCGAGGACTTCCTATTCTCCCTTTTAACTTCGGTTTGAATCTTTCCGTGTTCCTGCGCTGTGCACGAAGGCGAATTGCTTTACTATCGGTGAAGGTTCGGTTAAAAACTGCTAGCTGGCAGAACGACTTATTTTTTATCCTTCAACTGGATCAGAGACATTTACTACAGAAAACCATCTCTTGTTGCCACAACAGCTACGAAACCACTCATTTCCTGTAGCTGGAGTGAATAATTGCCATGCATGTGAAAGTTATTATTAGATCAGATCAAAGGTGTAAGGAGAGACCATCTTTGCTGTTTTCAAAACAGAGCTTAGATTATTTTTGTGTCACTTTGCCTTTTGGTAACAAAGACAGAATGTTGAAGACTTGCTGAATTGCATTTTGGAAATAGTTTTAAAACAGAAATTATCAGGTTGCCCTACAGAGCAGCGAACCACCAAAACTAGCAATGTGCCACAAACTGTCTTATGGTTTCTCATGGACAGGATAGCAGAAAGACACCAAGAATTCTGTCACAATAAATATTTTTTTTTAATTAGTGGAAGTTGACCCTGTCAGCCAACTGAAACAGCTGCTAAATCGTGGAACTTATGCTTATTTTGTCACACAATTCCCCTGTAAACCTAGGCTGATCCAGCTTCCCAGTTAAAAAACGCAAAAAGTTTTGCCTGTTCAGAAATGAATTGAGTTGGTTAACGTTTCATCTTAGCAGGCCGGTCTTTTGCCTCATCAGTCATTCAAGCAGACAGGCGACCCAGAGCACCACGTTTAACACACACCTCAGTCCAGTTTCACTCATCTTCCTTCAGCAGAGTACAGCACTGCAGCTGGGAGCACTGCACACAAAACATCTCTGGGTCGCAGTGATCTCCAATACGGTTTCCAATATGTCATTCAGATTAAGAAGATTATGAACCCAGTGAAGGTTTATTAACAATTCTCCAGTTCCAGGGGAGACTCAGTGGCTGCTATTTACTGTTTAAAGGGGGGCATGGAGCTGGCAAATGACAGAAAAGTAGAACACTACCCATTAGACGTGCTCTGTCACCCGAAGTCTACAGCTGCCTTTCCTTCGTGGAGAGCGCTGTAGTGGAACCTCTTACTTCTTACACGAGCCCCAGGGCTCGCACTTCTCAAAGAAAGCAACAGAGATGACCTTCTTTGTGTTTTTTCATCCACCCGCTCCCCGACTTGTGTAAGGGTTCTGTTCCACAAGGATGTGCCTACAATCCTTTATTAACCACTGCGTGGACGCAGATGGAGGGTGACCATTCCTCCTACTGAGAAATAAACCAGTTTTGCTCCAAGGAAGACACCTTCAAAGACAATTAGGATAGACACCAAATACAGCATGTTTTTAAAAATGTAAATGAAGAGTTGCCAAAGAATGACCCTTCAGTTAGTTCGTGAATACTGTATGTCTCCGTGCCCTCCGCTGTACTGTTCAGTTATTAAACAAACTAGCCAGCTGAGCTGCAGTACCAGCGTGTCTTCGGACTGGGGGAGGAGACCCATGCCAACACGGAGAGAGTGTGAAAACTCCATGGGGATGGCACCCCAGGACCCCAGCGCTGACCACTGCGCCACCGTGCTGCTCCCATACATTTACTCATCCATCCTTAATGCCCAGCACCCCAAAATGTAGTCAGTGGGAGGCAAGCTGTAGGTATTAGAGAAAGCATTGCATGTCTTGTGTTTGAACATAGCCGTAACGGTGTCTGGCACTGGTCTGTTTACACCTGCATACAGCTGCCATTTCTGAAAGAGGGTGAGGTGAGGACCCTCTCTGGAGGTTTTGAATACGTTATGTCCTGTTCTTTACCAGATATATCTTCATCCTAAACAGCTGTGTCTTGTCTCTTTCCAGGATGGCTTGGATGCTTTGGTTTATGACTTGGACTTCCCCGCCTTAAGAAAAAACAAGAGTATCGACAACTTCTTGAATAGATGTAAGTACTTCCAGAGACTCTCGCTCCTCCTTTACAGAGCAGCGTTTCTGTCCATCCCCGTCCTGCGTTAGGATTGTGGGGATATCCAGTAACAAAAGGGCTTTCTCCAAGTTCATCTGCTGACCCACATAAGTGATATTCTTATCATCGGGTTCAGGAGAACTCATTTGCCATTTTGCATTTCTTGACTTCGGCACATCTTAGGCACTGAATACACTTATAGTACATTTGGCATTTGACACTTTAAAATAGTGGAGAGACCAAGTCAGTCAGATGAATTTATATCCTTTTTCCTTCTAAACCATTAGAATGAATTTCCCAGTGTGATGTAAGGCCTAGTAATGACAGTAGTTCAGGTGGGTAGCTGCGTCAGCATGCGTAGGCTGCAAAGGAACAAGTAATAGGTTTATTCCATGCTAAAAAAAAAAGAAGAAAGAGAACACAACGTTTCGGCTCACACCTGAAGAAGGCTCCACGGCTGAAACGTTGTGTTCTCTTTCTTCTTTTTTTCAGCATGGAATAAACCTATTACTAGTAATGACAGGTCAGTTTGTCACACTCAGGCTCAAAGTAACAGATGGGATTTAAGCTGTGTTTTTTTTTACAAAACTGTAAAGGTCCCTCTGATGGGGTTCTGATGGCCCTACAGAGATCTCAAGAAAAGATTAAGTCATTTAACTCACATTAACATTTAACATTTAACTCACAGAAGTAGCAAAGGATATACGTGCCATTATTACCAAGTCATTTAACTCACTTGGTAATAATGGCACGTATATCCTTTGCTACTTCTGTGTATGTTTTTCTCCCTATGTAGTATTGTTCCCAGAAAACATTTTTTTTTCTCTATTAAAAAAAGCGATAGCCACAGCTCTATTAATTGTAGATTTTGTCTCTGTTCTTTTTAAAGCCCACATCCAGAGCTGCTCCTGCAATGAATAGCAACTGATAGATCTATTTCTGCTGTAACAATGACCATTTTTAGAACAATGATGAAGTGTCTTAAAACCACGCAGTTCATGGAAATAGTTTGTATTTTGGAGTTCACTGTTTCATAAGCTTATGCTGTATTTTTAGATCAATTGAGCTTGGAAGTTTTTTCCATGCATTCTTGTGCCAGTTGTTACCCATGTGAATAGAAAATCTCTCCTTTTCAGCTATGACCAAATTTGGCTGAATCTTATGTTCCCCCTGGGGAACCTGAAATTGTTAGCAGTAGATAAAGGGACCGTGCTTGTATAAATAATTGTAACACATACAAAGTTTAAAGACTTCTTTCAGTGGAGCTGAATTCCACATCCGAGAAGGAGACATTTTCTTGTGTTCGTCTTTTTAGGGTGCGTGCCAGTAATGTGATAAGAGAGCAGAAGGTCCTGTTAGCTCGGAACCAGATTTAAACGGGGAATCAAAGACATGAAAACTGTTCTGTCAACGTGATGCTAGGGCAAAGCTAAATATATCTTTGCCATAGTCTCCTGGAGGGTCTGTCTTTTTAAAAGTTTTTCTTATTTCAGCATAAGCATCAAGTCATGCATGGAGGTGCTGCAGGAGCTTTGTTTTGAAACCGACAAAGATGATTCATGCATCTCTTGTGGTTCTGGTGAACCATATGCGAAAGTTATCGGTTAATTAAACGTTAATTTGTCTCAGTTAATGGATGCTGAGTAGGCCAAACATGGTCAACTTTTACAGGAGTTTTACTGGAGTTACAGCAGCCCTAGAACCTAGAGCCCATCACATCAGTCATGCATCTCGGACATAATTGAATGTTTTTCTCCAACTGCTGCTCTTGCACTGTTTTTCCATAAGACCCACAGATGTAAGTTTTCAGAAAGAAAATGTGAGAAATGTGCATCTGCATACAAAGGTGGCAATGTGCTCCTAATCTCTGTTTTTTACCATTAATGTTACCCATCTTCCTTTTTCCTAGAACTGCACTGCTATGCCCTTACTGGAACTTAGTGATTATATGTATCAATAGTATATATAATAGTATATATAAATAGTAAGTCTTATAATTGACATAGAATGTGACTGGGTTACCTTAGCTTTTATAGTTTTAAAAACCCCAATGTGACACCGTGATGTTCTGTTTTCTGACACACTTCTAATAATGGTTCGTAACGTTCTTCTTCCAGATAAAGACACCATCAGTAAAATCAGAGACCTGCGCATGAAAGCAGAGGATTATGAAGTGGTTAAAGTCATCGGAAGAGGGGCCTTTGGGGAGGTACAGCTGGTAAGTTACAGTGATTTCAGTAGCTGCTGGTCTCAGGTAGGGATTTCAAAGCACTCCTGTTCACGTCCTTCCAGTCCAGCTGGGGTGCAGTGTTGTTCTTTTTAGGATGTGAAGCTCAAGCTTTCTTGGCCTCTGGAGAGAGCGTCTTTTACAATGAATCGTGGTTATGTGTCAATGTTACAGTGAGTTAAGAGTTTACATCAGGGGTTGAGTAAAATAGATGAATGAAAGTGGCACAAGGGTCCAGAGCATGAGGCAAACATCTGGATGTAGTACTGGTCAACTGTAGGTTGGACTCACCAGTGAGCACCGGATCCCCATAATGCAGCAGAGTTGACTGGGGACGTCCAGGCTACGACAGCAGTCCTCACCGGGACCTGAAGCCATGGTCTGAGCCCTCGATAGCACTGTGTCATTGAATTGAGGCAGTGGTGAATTTAGTTTTTTGTCAGATTTAATTGGGAATTATTTGAAACCCCAGCCATCTTAAAGATGAACTGAGAGATAACAGTGTCGGGAGCCTCCTGAGTGTCTCTTCCTGTAAAGGCTGTCTCTTGGGTTTTGGCCTGGGTCATGTCGCTAGCACATGGTGTGCTGGATCCCCAGAGCAGTATCCACGAGCACGGCAGAGGGAAGGGTGGGATTAGCTCATCAGGGCTGTCTCGCTATCACAGCGCCCCCTGCGGCCTCCTGGGTGCCTGCAGCCCTTCAGTGCCGTTGGCAATGGAAGCACCTCTCCTCCAATCAGCACTGAACCCCCAGTAGGGGGCTGTGTTCCCTGTGGTGAGTCAAAGGGGAGGGGCTTGAAGGTGCGCGGGTGGGAGGAGCCTGTTTCCTCACTCTCCCCCGTGTGCGCTCACAGGGTTCACAGCTGCTGGACCAGTAATAAAAAAACACACAACTGGCCATTTCAAACTAGGTGGCTGTGATAAAAAATAATTGGAGATTCTTAATCAAAAATATATATATATACACATACAACAGCCAGGGCAAAGCGTTACATTTGAAAAATTTAACCTGCTTCATGATGATTGACGGTATTAAACACAAGTTATTTCTTAGCACACTGAGTTCTTGTAGCTTCGCCACTACATTTCAGCATCATCTCAAAGTAAATTCCTCTGCATACAAGAGAAGTTGTCTTATTTTTTGCCCCTTTTCTGGCTTTGTTTCCTAGAGTTGTGCTATAATGATTGCTCGCCCATCAGATGGCCAGTGTCTTCACCTGAGGAATGTCATTTCTTTTGGGAGACCTGTTTGTCTTTCATATAACGTATAAATATATTTCTTTTCTAACTCTCATTTTACAGGTAAGGCATAAAGCCACAAGAAAGGTTTATGCCATGAAACTCCTCAGCAAATTTGAAATGATCAAGAGATCGGATTCGGCTTTCTTCTGGGAAGAGAGGGACATCATGGCTTTTGCTAATAGCCCCTGGGTAGTCCAGGTACAGAGTTGTTTTTTTTGCTGCACTCGTGCAGACCGTGAAAAGACAATTAGGAGTAACACACACACAGACATCGTGGAGCTCTCAGCGCTGCTTCTTAACAATGAGGAATTGCGAGTGTGCGCTTGAAGACTGGCCATACAGTCCTGATGGTTTTTGCTGTATGCCCCACGTGTGGTGATGTATAATTGGAAATTGTGTTTTAGCAGTGTGTGCATCAATCATAGAAGTTTCTGAAGTAAGCTTGCATTTGCAGTTTCATTGTTGGATGTTTTTATTCTGTTTACAACGGACTTCTGCCTGGACTTTGACTTGGTGCTGCTTGTGGTGACAGAGCAAAACGTATTTGATTAAAGACTACAGACTTCATAGCACAAGGTCTCTAAGGGCAGCAATTCCAATGTATTGTGGCTGTTAAACAAGGTATTAACTCTTTAATACCTAACTGGTATTAAACTAATAACTGGGACGCCAGCAAAATGACAGTATTAACCTTTGCTGTTGTCTTAGCACTGTGTTAATAAGGAGAGGTAACTGATAAAGGCACCTCTCTTTCACCAGTCTGTTCGCCATAGTCTGCGTGCAGCTGTTTGATAGAGCTTCTGTGATAAAGCATCAAAAAAATTTTCATCAAAAAAGTACAATGGAGCATGTTTACTCCATTGTACTTTTTGGACAATCAGCCTGTATAAACCTATGCACATTTTGCACATATTTTATTGTTTTTACAGTGACTATGATCAGCACATTTTGCACACACCTATGTATTTATTTTTATTTATCTTGTTTGTCTTTTGTTTTATAACTATTCTGATGTCTGTTTTGCTTGTCTTGGGCTGGACTGCTGTAACACATCAATTTCCCTACGGGATTAATAAAGTATTATCTATCTAAAATCTTTACCGAAATGAAACAGCTGGACGGAAATATTTCTTTATTTCTATTTCTCCTCTTACCTACCTCTTATTTCTCCTCTTATCTACCTCTTACCTTTTTTCATCTACTGTTGGGTTCAGACGCAGAATTTGGAATTAGGTGTTATTAACCAGACAGATGTCATGTGGAGCTGCAGTGAGGGACTTCAGAGCCATTTTGAATGATTTCCTGAGGTCTGAGACTGGCAGGGTTAGACAGGCTTGTCCTGTTGATATTTTGAGTTGGGGTGGAATGGGCACGTAAAGAAGAATTGAATATTTCTCAGCTTCTCTTTATTTCTTTTATGTTGCTTGTTCGTGGGGTCGTGCTGCTTTGTGCTGCTGGTTTTGTGTAAATCTTGTGCCCACGGTTAAAGTGCAAGAGAAGGCAAACTGTATACTGTTGGAGCCGGAGCTTTTTTTCTCCTGCCGTTCTGATCTCGGTTGCTGGGGGCCTCCCAGCTCTTCTATGCTTTCCAAGATGACCGCTACCTGTACATGGTGATGGAGTACATGCCAGGAGGGGACCTGGTCAACCTGATGAGCAACTACGACGTGCCGGAGAAGTGGGCCCGGTTCTACACCGCCGAGGTGGTGCTCGCGTTGGACGGGATCCACTCCATGGGCTTCATCCACAGGTCAGAGCTCCCAGGCCAAAACACGGCCGAAACTTTGCTTAAAAGCAGAAAAAATAAACCCAGCTTTTCTACGTGCTATTGGATTGGTGTGGGAGCGGTGCTTTAGGCCCGCCCCTACACTGAATTGCGAATGGGATTGGTTATTGTAGCTGTCTTTCACGGAGCTTAAAAAAAGTAGGTTGGCCATGTGACACGACACCCCCCTTTAACCAGAAACCCAGAAGTTCGATCTCCTCGTGAGTAGTTGGTACTTGGGGAGCACCCAGAAGAGTTATTAAGCAAATAAAAGTGTACATTTTCCTTGAAGGTGTCGTTAATATACTTGTCCGGGGGCTCCGGCTGACCACTGGCGTGACCGCTGGCCCTCCGCCCACCTGCCGCGGTCCTTCCCCCTCCCCATGGCTCGAGAGGCGTCCTGGGCTGGCTCTGGGGAGGTCCCGCTAGCAACAGCACGCTTGCCTGTGGGGTGAAAGTGGCCAGGCCAGACCCAGGGGCTCGTGTTATGTTCCTGAACCCGTTCTTGCAGGAGACGACACTGATACCATGTTTCACCGTCGGCCGGTCTCCTCTTGCTGCCCCTGAAGTGGAGTCTGTCCCCTTCATCCCAGGGTTTAAAGAAACGTGCCCCGATTCGGTCTGTTTAAGAAAGCCGTTGTTGCTCATTAAGTAGATGGCGGTTTAGCTCAATATTTGTACCATGAAACTGCCTCCAAACCCCCCCATGTGCTGTTGTTTTCCCTGAGGGGTGTAACTTGCCCTCTTTATTAACATTCCTTCATGTGAAAAATAGCGCAAAGACCAAAAAAACACTGGGAACAAGACTGTGTACAGTGGGTTTACAAAGATGGAGGTGTCTGTCTGTAAGCTTGACAGTTGTTTCTGTCATAAATCTGGGGGCTGCCTGGTCAGGCTGTGTGTTGTTGGGGTGAGGTTCCCGTTCAGTGTCATCTGGTTTCTCCTCCAGCCCACGTTAGAGCCACATGTCCAGCTGAGACGGCTCCAGATTGGCAGACAATCATTCACTCTCTAGGCTTTTGAGTTAGCTTTGTAAATATTTAGATTTTGTTATTTTTTTTAATGCTTCATTTGCGATTTGAGAGATGCATCAGTCGACTGTGAATCTTCTTCTTGCAGAGATGTGAAGCCCGATAACATGTTGCTAGACAAAGCTGGCCACTTAAAGCTTGCGGACTTTGGAACCTGCATGAAAATGAATCAGGTAAATGAATCGATAAAGCAAACCAGTCTGCAGCTGCTAGGCTCGCTTTCATGTAGTTTAGAGGGAAATCCGATTTCGTACTCGACTTGCGTGCCTTAATGGAGTTCCTTCTGGAATGGGTTGGAAGAGAATTTGCAAAGCTGGCCACAGTCCTCTCAGCCTTGTTTATTTCAATGTGACAGGTGCTTGAATTCCTAACAAGCGATCATTGCACCTGCTGTCGCGTTTGTTTTTCTGTGCTTTGAGTCAGTTTTGACCTGGAACCTCCTTTGCCACCAGAAACACCACGTCTTTTTTTCAAGGGGAACTGCAACACTATTTTTATATTTCGGGGTTAGAAAGAATCAGGACTGATGAGTGCACGTCAGACCGCGGTAAAAGTAAAATGTACGCAGTAACTTTATCTGATAAAACCTCAGTTTACACCACAAATAGACCAGATTTCCAGGTATGCGCTGCGCCATGTTCTGCGATTCAAAATGAGGCAACAAAACATCCAGTGACGTGATGCGGCTCTATGACACTGTAAACGAGCAGGCTTGAGAATACATCTGTTTTAATCCAATAGAAATATTGCTCTTCACTTCGAGGCGGTTTTGCCGACAAATACTACTTGTTAACTCTGCAGATCGCATTGGAACACTTCTGCAGTGAAATATCTGCTGCACACCCTGTAGTTACCTGATTGCACATCGCAGTGCATTAGTCCTTACGGAGACTAGTGAGCAGGAAGGGCCGCTTCACGTCGCAGTTCTTGTGAGCTCTCACTCCCGCACGTGGCGAGACCAGGGGTTTGCGACAACATGTCTTTCCTCCCAGTGCTTTCACTGAACATTCACAGTTTTGCGTTTAATCCAGAAGTTGTCAGTTTTTTCTACGCTGCCAATGAATTTATTTTTGTCACCAAGATTTACTTAACCGGATTGCGAAACTGGGGCTGCGGTTCCCCTTTCAAAGTTATCGGGTTTTCTTTCAGCTTTCGCTTTTCTGTTCACATGAAACGGGGGCGCGTTTGCTGCCCGCGTGGTTCAGAGGGCCGTGCGGGTGTCTGATGTGCAGTGGTGTGCTGTGTTGCAGGATGGCATGGTACGATGTGACACAGCAGTGGGCACTCCTGACTACATTTCTCCCGAGGTACTGAAATCACAAGGCGGCGATGGCTACTATGGCAGGGAGTGTGACTGGTGGTCAGTCGGGGTCTTCCTGTATGAAATGCTTGTAGGTGAGTAAGAACTGTAATTAAAAAAGTATACATGTGTGTGTAGTGCCGTTCTGCCCATCTAGCCCTTTCGGTAGTTAGTAGTTAATTGATCTAAGGGTCTCCACCAGCCATTTCTTGAACAGCAGCTTGAAGGCAGGGTATCAATTTCAGCAGCATGTCTTGGTAGCTCGTTCCCTCCTCCCACAACTCTTTGATTAAAGTATTATCTTTGTTCTTCATTTTAAAGTTTCACATTTCCACAATTTTACATGATCTTTTTCAAAGAACTGTTTACAAATGCACAGCTTCATGCTTGTGTTGTAATGAGACGTGAAGCCAGACCTGTACTGTGTTGCTAGTGTGGCAGAGTCAAACGAAAACCTCCAGTGACCGGCGTCAGCTGTAGGGTCCCCGATGGTCCTGTGTCATGCCTTGTGCTTGCTTGCGCTGGGCTGGAGGCTTTGCTGTTTTCTCAGTGCTCAAAGGCTCTCGGGCTTGCTTGCAGGAGACACACCTTTCTATGCAGATTCACTGGTGGGAACATACAGTAAAATCATGAACCACAAGAACGCCCTGACATTCCCAGATGACAGCGAGATCTCGAAAGATGCGAAGAACCTCATCTGTGCCTTCCTGACGGACAGGTAAGGCTGAACTCGGACGCCTCTGAAGAGCAGAAGCTGTGCTTGTAGGATAGCTGAGATGAAGAAGTGAAGGACGTCACAGGAGGTCTGATTCCGCCAATTCAGACTCTCCATGACCTCATGCTCCCCATTCAAGTTACTCTCACTTCTGGAGAGTTGTTCTTAAGGTGCAGTTGAAGGTGTTTTTTTAAATGGGCTTTATTAGAAATAGTCTCCAGTTTTTCTCCCTGCTAAAAACAAACTTTTGCTGGGCTCCAAATGCAGTAGTCAACCCCTCCATAAATATAACTCTCTCCCTCTCTAGTAGGATCTCCTGAGGATGCATGACTTCCTTGTTGTCTTTAAGTTCTTCGTTCCAGATTCTTCCCTTCTCTTTTCCGTTAAAGTTTTACCTCAGAAACGTACCTTGGGAGAAATTGCAGTCTGAGAGGTCAAAGTCACGAATGGAAATACTGTATTTTAAAGAGACATCTCACGTCAGAGCTGCCTTTGTCACACCACAGGGAGGTGCGATTAGGTCGCAATGGAGTGGATGAAATCAAGCGGCATCCTTTTTTCAAGAACGATCAGTGGACGTGGGAGAATATCAGAGAAAGTAAGTTCCCTTTTGGTTGGAGGAGCCTTCCAAATTTGGTCACTTGATTTTAGTCAGTGTGCCCTTCCCATGGGAGGTTGATAAGTGGACCTAAATTGCTGTGAATCTTAATTATGCCTTCCTGCCGTATACAGTGATGGGTTTTGAAGAAAAAAATGGCGATTGGTGTGCAGTACTGGGATGTTACATTTTGATTTTTGAATGCTTCTATGTTTTAGATATAACGTGCTTCATGGTGAGATTTCTGAGCATCTTGAATGTTTCATAGCTAGAATAACTAAACAGTGCCTTCAATCAAAGAAAAGAAAAAAGTGGTTTCTTAAAAGCAGATAAAGAGCTATATTGTGTTGTATATTGTTTTTGAATGAAAACAGAAGGTCGTCTTTATCATATAAAAATATAACAATGCAGATTTTGCACAAGTTGCTTGTGTTCCATTGTTTTAGATTGCATTCTAATGTTACTAGTTTAATGAAACTTCAGTGAAAACTAGTTTGTGATGTGAAAAGGAGTGCCGGATTCAGCTGCCTCTGCTGCCTGACTCCTTCCCGGCAGCTCTGACCACACTGATGCTCTTACAGCTGCTGCCCCTGTTGTGCCTGAGCTCAGCAGTGACATCGACACTAGCAACTTTGATGACATTGAGGAGGACAAGGGAGATGAGGAGACCTTCCCCATACCAAAGGCTTTTGTTGGCAACCAGCTGCCTTTCGTGGGGTTTACCTACTACAGCAGCAATCAGTGAGTCTTACCAGCATCAAAATATATCCTCTCACTTATTTTGTCAGCTGCTTTCTTAATTAGGAACTTTTCGAGTCAAATTGTAATTGGTAAAATAGGCTTATTTTTTTAAAAGCTGCTGTTTTCAGAACAGTTAAACGTTTTTGAAAGTTGTTTGTGGTCTCAGAGGTATGATGGCAGATTTCGTCAGATTAATGAAAGTGGAAGAAGAGAGAGCTGGTGTATTTTGTCCTCATGTGTGTTCTGTTTTGCTTCTAACCCCTTCATCGCTCCCCCTAACGAGTGAACTCTTCTCATTCAGACTCGCTCGTGGCTTGAGCACCAAGACCAGTGAGAAGCGGAGTAGCTCTGTAAAGGAAGATAAAAGCCAAGTAAGTCTGTAGGGCCTGTACCCGATGTCTGTCTACATGAGTGGCATTGACAACAGTCGTAAACAGAAACGTTAGACCATACATCTGGTGTGCATCTGGTACTGTGCTGAACATCTCGGAGACAACAGCCAGGCAATTCTGAACTGGCAGGGATAAGTAGAAAAAAAAAGATTTATTGCTATTAAAGCAAGTCATAAGATTGGCAGAAAGCCTATTGCAAATGAAACGTATCGAGTAGCCTAGCTCACTTCCAGTGTGTTTATTCCTGCAGCTTGAAAATCTGCAGAAAAGGATTTACCTGCTGGAAGAGCAGCTCCACAGTGAGATGCAGCTGAAGGATGAAATGGAGCAGAAGTGCAGGTAGGAGGCTTCAGAGATTCAGACCCTGCTGGGCCCTCAGAGTCTGCACAAACCTCGCCTGGACCTGCTTTCCAGCTGCCCCTCTGGCTGGCTGTCTCCTTGCGCTGGTTGCACTGGAGAGTTTTTGGGAGATCTACCACCGATTTCAGAGAGAAAAAAGGGCAGGTTGTGATTTAAGGTTCCATTGAGGAAGTGGTGAGCTGATTACCCTGGAATGTTAAAGAAAGGGCGAACTAAATACCTTGGCCTTAATGCTAAGACCGATGGCAGGTTATTATTATGAATGTCTGCTTGTTCACGTGAAAAAATGTGAGCCCAGGTGGGTCAGCGGACGCCGCCTCTGAGAAAGTATTTCTTTTGTTAGGATTTTGATTGTATCCCTTCCAGAGTTGAGGGTGGGTCGCTGTTGAGACCTTTGTTCTCAAGGTGTCGGAAATAAGTCATTTTGTTGTGCTCTTCAGATGCACTCGTACAGAACAGATAGATAAGGGCCTAACTAAACTAGTGTTTAACAGCAGCCAGTGAAGGTTTACAAATGAAGGCATTCTGTAAATATTTTAGTGTTCTGTTTCTCTCAAAGTAAAAATCCATGTACTTTAATTTCTTTTCATGAGTTGTTTTTTTCAGCTATATGGTTACTGTTCCAAAAGCTGGTTGTCTGATCTCTGTCTGACCCCTGTGTGTTCATTAATCCACCTCTAGAGTCAGCCTACTGTTTTTACAAAGGCTTTGAAATCCGTGGAGACTGGGCTAACCTCTGTTCCGTGAAGCGAGTAGTCCAGCCTAGTGAGGCTTGACTGCTTTTGCCAGGCCAGAGCAGGGAATCTCACACTGGCTGCCTGCCGTGCATCAGCTGTGTTGATAAGGGAGTTTGTTTCCACAGCCAGCCATGAGCCTGCTTTCTTAAGCGCTAGGAATACACTACCTCTTACTGTTACTCGTTTGTGAAGATCGCCCTTCGGACCCGGTGTCTTACATTCAAGCTAATCTGTGAACCCTTAAGAGTGAGCAGTGCTGAAACGCAGAGTAGTGTAAGTCAAAATTAATACAACCTACACACATCCCTGAAGCAGTGCATTACTGGGATGAAACTCTGGTGTTCATTTACAAGGTGAGCAATGTGGGGAGTATGAACGTTTTCTTGTTTGACCCGCAGGGCTTCAAACATAAAACTGGACAAGATCATGAAGGAGCTGGACGAGGAGGTAAGCAAGAGGGTGTCTTCTGAGAACAGCGCTAAACTTTCTGCTTTAAGGAGAAGGAATATTAGTGTGTTTGACACATGGAATGGGAAGGTTGCACGTGCATTACTACATTTGTGTTTTATTTTCATCTTAGCTGCATTATCGGATTATGTACATTAACAGTTACCTGAAACTGACTCTGTGTTGGCTCGTCCCTGTATAACTGTACATGAATGGATGTGGGTTGTTGTGTCACACTCAACATGTAGAGAGGAAACTCGTCACGTAGGTCAGTTTTTCTCTTATTTCCCGATTATACAATCCATGTCAGAACTGCTAACTGTTTTTAATAATCAGGGCAGGAGTGTACAGTCACAGGTTTTTGAGTAATGGTGCTGAAATGTCTCTTCCTAGACAAACCTACGGAAAAACATGGATTCCACTGTGTCCCACCTAGAGAAGGAGAAGATGATGGCACAGCACAGGGCTACTGAATACCAAAGAAAGGCTGAACAGGAGGCTGAGAAGAGGCGCAATGTGGAAAATGAGGGTGAGGCTGGTAGTGTTACCGCTGCTGTTATTTTTTTCCTTGGGAATTGGGGTGCGTCCTCGTGAGCAATTGAGCATTACTGTCCCTCAGTGGCTCTTTTTACCACACTGTCATTGACAACAGTGGTCCAGGACCAGATGTCTCACACACGCACAGAGCCTGACCTCTCATTCAGGTCATTTCTGTCTGAAGTCTCGTCTACATTGAAACGACTACATCTGAAGAGTTTTTAAGTGTGCCTTGCTGTAGAAGAAGGGATAGGTGGCTTCTTTGACCAAACCCGTTTCTGCTGGAGCAGGCTAAAAACATTGCCAGCATGCTGTCTCGGAAAGCCTTGCTGCTTAAGAGACTGTTATTTTATTGTATAGGTATGAACAGGTGAGAGGCTGAGGGAGAGAGGGGGCAGTGTGTTGCAATAATTTCTCCACTATGTTCCGTGTTTAGTGTCGACTTTAAAAGAGCAGTTGGAGGACATGAGGAAGATTAGCCAGAACTCCCAGATATCCAACGACAAGATCACACAGCTGCAGAAACAAGTAAGTGGAGCGGACAGCGAGGGGGCCTTCGTTCTGCCACAGCAGGTTGGGTCCCGCGATCCCGGGTGAATGAGGAGATTGCGTGGCTGAGGAGCAGAGCTGACTGGCTGGCACTGAACACGCAAGGTGTAGTTCCCTTTAATGATGCAGATGTTCCCTGTTTCTGACTTTCTCATATCCTGTGAACTCGCACGTGTTCAGGAGGTTAATAGGTGACAACTCCCAGATGGGGAGTTGTACAGCTGCCGGGACAAAGCTGTTCGGTTTTTGGCACGGTCACCAAAAGTCCATAATTTAGTCCTGGGTACAGTGACTACAGTGAAGACCGGCTTCAACTGATTGGAGCCTCCTAATTATATACATGAATAACATATTAGGAGAGCCTTCATTTGTGCAATAGACCACACAGCCTTAGCATAGTGGTATTGGTATAAAATTAAAAGTCTCCAACTGTCTTGAATTATGATTACATTAACCATGGTAGGGGTCTATTTTTTATTTTACCTTCTGTTGGGGTTTAAAGTCTGTAAAACCATGTGAGCCTGCACCCAGAGCTCAGAATCTGTTGGATCCGTTCAGAAGTGGCTCTGAGTTGCTCTGACAAGTGCCCCGAGGTGAGTTTGATGGTAGCAGTGCTGAAATCAAAAGCAGAGAGAATGGAGACGGGTGGTAAAAAGACATGAGCTGAAGGTGTGGTGTGAGAGCAGCTGCCGCCCAGGAGCTTCCAGCACTGTCTCTGTCCGCAGCTGGAGGAGGCCAACGACCTGCTGAGGGTGGAGTCGGACACGGCGGCCAGGCTGCGGAAGAGCCACACGGAGCTCACCAAGTCCATGAGCCACCTGGAGACGGTGAACAGGGAGCTGCAGGAGAAGAGCCGCGCGGCGGACGGCGCCCGGCACCAGCTGGAGAAGGAGGTGCTGCAGCTGCAGGCCGCCCTCGAGTCGGAGCGGAGGAACTGGAGCCAGGGCTCCGAGGAGATCCAGGAGCTGCAGGGTAAACCCGCGGGAGGGGTTGGGACAGCGCTCGTAACCGTTCACGAGCACTTTGTGCATTAAGCTGCTGTGGGCTGCCTCGGAGTTTACTCTTTTTTGCACATACGTTACAATGATTGGCGCGAGTAACGGGAAATCTTAAAACTGAAGACAGGTGGTGTCTTGCTGAGTAAGGATTCAGCATTTGATCAGTCCGTCTTTTCCCATCTGATTTATGCAGCGCTTACAGAAAGTCTGCCCTCTCCAAAGTAACACGTTTTGTGGCCCAACAGTCTGAAATCAAGATACATTAAATGAGTTCCTATAGAGCAAATAGGTCAACTTTCCCAGTCAGAGCTCTGACCTCAGTCCAGTTTACGATCTGTGGAGTGGCTGGCTTGACGTCTGCCATCCACCAGCTGTCCCCTCGCAGTCTGACTGAGCTTGAACAGTTCTGTAAGGAGCAGTGGGCACACACTGCCGAATCTAGGTGAGCTGGTACGTACAGCCGTTATTCTGTTTGGACAAGTAATCAATCAAAAGGCGCTTTCGCCAAGTACTAACTCGCTTATCCAACCCATTGTTCTAGGTTTACATTTGTAATCACTTTTCAGAATGTCTGAGCATTTGTTTTCCACTCGGAGGTTGTGTGTCACAATGTGTAAATGTGTTCTTTTGGAAAGGGTGAGCAGACATTCTGTAGGTACTGTAGGTACAATCACTGTACTGTAGGTACTGTAGGTAGCTAATCCTTTGGATAAACAGTATCTCTTTATTTGGATTGTTTTAAATAGAAAAAAAATGGTGCCGACATCTTCTTCATGCATCCCACCATTGGACGCTATATATACTTTATTCTTGTGCTTTTTTCACATTGAGTTTCTCTGCTTGAAAACCATCGTGTCTGGGTATGCATCTGTGTGGGAAACTGGAATTTCACACTCTAAGCTCTCCAGATTCATAATGCACTGCTGAAATTGTTTACAGTCCACTTATTAACCGCATTGTGCCAGAATCGCTCAGATGTAACTTGCACATGCTGTGATATGAACAGCGTGTTGCCCGCAGTTAGCTAAAGCCATCGCTGTATGATTTGGCCAACAAACAGGCCGTGTGTAAACCGTTTAGTTTTGTCATGGAGCTACCCCGATAAAGACTAGTTCCCCCCAGGCCTGGGCTCATTCATAATTGATCAGTACCACAACGCCTGTTATTCACGAACCAGTGGGCACACTGAGCTGAATATTGTGACGATGAATTAATGTGTTCTACTGGCTTTGTAACCCCAACGGCAGCTAGTAGGAAGTCATCCTGTACTGCGACACACCTTGTTCACTCACTTTTAAAGTCTTAATGTTCACTTTCAGGCTTTCTTTTGTAATGCAAACGGAGTAAGAGTGTTATACACAAGTCCAGGTGTTCTCTGTGTT